GAAATTTTAATAAAATAGATGAATTCCTACGAAAACATCACTAAAACACTCAAACAGAAAGCCTGGTTAGTCCCCTGGTACATATTGTGATACAGTGTCCAGGTCCTGCGCTCAGAATAAAGGATCTAGCACCCTCATTTCTGGGAGTGCCTCCAAGAGTCAGCTGCCAGCCCCGTTTGAGGACTGCCTCCGATAAAGCGTGCAGACCCAGCCTACCGTCACTCTACTCTTCTTGATGTAAAAACCCTAAATGCACATAAACGAAATACATAAAACAAAAACAGGCCAGGAGGGAGAAAGGGCCACGCCCACGATTCAGAAACGCCAACAACATTCCTTTACAGTGACTGAGAAAAAGTGCACAGAAAATCAGTGCTTAGAGATGACCTTGAAAGCACTATCAATCAACCTGGCCTAATGGATGTTTACAAAACACTCCAACCAACTGCAGCAAAATACAGTCATCTTGCATGCACATGTTACATTCACCAAGATAGACCACTGTCTGGGCCGTAAAACAAACCTCACCAAATTCAAAGAATGGAAATAATACAAAGATTCTCAGGCAGGAACTAAACTAGAAAGATACCTGGAAAATGCCCAAAAGTTTGGAAATTAACACACTTTTAAATAACCATGGGGTCAATAAGGAAGTCTCAAAGGAAATTTAAAAATATTTTAGCCAAATAAAAATAAAGGATAAAATTGGAAGGAGGCAGAGAAAGAGGCCCTTAAAGAGACACTTATAGCATTAAATGCATGTATTAACAAGAAAGATCTAAAATCAGTAACCTAAGCTTCCACCTCAATAAACTAGAAAAAAAGAGTCAAACCTAAAGCAAACAAAAGACAGAAGGAAATTATTAGAGGCGAAATCAATGAAATAAAAAGGTGGTTCTTTGAAAAGATCAATAATATTGATATACCTCTAAGCAGGCTGACCAGGAAAAAAAAAGAATAGACATAAATAACCAATATATTGAACAAAAGAGAAGACATCACTACCCATCCCACGGACATTAAAGGAATAATAAGGGGATGCTATGAACAAATCTATGCCTATGAATTCAATTAATTAGATTAAATGGATCAATTCCTTAAAAGATACAAACTACCAAGACACACCTGAGAAAAAATAAAATCTATTTTTAAAAGTTAAATATATACATTAAAAAACAAGCCTTCCACAAAAGAAAACTCAATGGAACAGATGGTTTCACTGGCAAATTTTACAAACACTAGAGGAAGAAATAATAACCTACAGTCCCCTGTAAAAGAAGAAGAGGAATACTTCACAACTTTTATAAGGTTAATATTTCCCTAATACCAAAACCAGACAAAGCCATTACAGAAAATAAAACTACAGGCCAATATCCCTCAACACAGAGGTGAAAGTCCTCAACAGAACATTGCAAACTGTATCCAGAAATGTATAAAAAGAGAACATGACCAAGTGGATTTCATTCATTCCAGAATGCAAGATTAGTTCACTATTTATTTCGAAGGGAAAAAAGCAGTATTATTCACCATATTAATAAACAAAAAATCCATGTTATCTTCTCAACAGAAAGATAATTTGACAAAATCTAACATCCATTCCTGATTTTTAAAAAAAG